CACGCCGAGCGGCTAGTTCACACTCTCAGTCGCCTCCGGGAGGCTAGACTGGTTCACTTTCTGCGCTTCTTGACTCTCGACCTGCCCTCGGCAATACGCGGTGTGTGGATGGTCGCGGCCGTACTCGCGCTCAAAGATCGCGAGCGCGCGCTCGAGGAGGTCGCGCTTCTTGGCGTCGTCGCCGAGGTCGCCGTACGCGTTCCCGAGGTTCATCAGCGCGCTGGCCACCCGCGCGTGGTCGCGGCCGTACTCACGCTCGAAGATCGCGAGCGCGCGCTCGAGGAGGTCGCGCTTCTTCGCGTTGTCACCGAGCTCGCCGTGCGCGTTCCCGAGGTTCAACAGCGTGGTGGCCACCCGCGCGTGGTCGCGGCCGTACTCGCGCTCCTTGATCGCGAGCGCGCGCTCCTTGATCGCGAGCGCGCGCTCGAGGAGGTCGCGCTTCTTGGCGTCGTCGCCAAGGCGGCCGTACACGCCCGCGAGTTCCCTCAGCGCGCCGGCCACCCGCGCGTCGTCGCGGCCGTACTCACGCTCGAAGATCGCGAGCGCGCGCTCGAGGAGGTCGCGCTTCTTCGCGTTGTCACCGAGCTCGCCGTGCGCGTTCCCGAGGTTCGCCAGCGTGATGGCCACCTGGACGTGGTCGCAGCCGTACTCGCGCTCGTCGATCGCGAGCGCGCGCTCGCAGAGGTCGCGCTTCTTGGCGTTGTCGCCGAGGCGGCCGTACATGCTCCCGAGGTTCCTCAGCACCATGACCACCTGCACGTGATCGCTGCCGTACTCGCGCTCCTGGATCGCGAGCGCGCGCTCGAGGAGGTCGCGATGCTTTTCGTAGTCGCCGAGTCTGTGGTACCCCTCCCCGAGGCTCCTCAGCGTGCTGGCCACCTGCACGTGATCGGGCCCAAACTCGCGCTCCTCGATCTCCAAGACCTTCTCCCGGACGCGCACCACGCTCGCGTGCTCGGCGATCGACTCGAGCAGCGCCACCAGCTCCAAGAGCAGCTTCGCGTCCGACGCGCGGTCGGACCCGAGCACGCGATCCACGAGGTCGTCGACGTTCTCCGCATCGGCGACGGGCAACGCGCAGAGCATGTTGAGGCGCTGCTCGACCGCGTCCTGGTTGCCGAGGAAGTACTCGCGGAAGAACTCGTAGGTCACGTGGCTCTTGTGCATCGGCTCCGACTCCTTGATCGGCGCGTGGTGGATCTGGAGCTCGCAGAGGTGTGCGATCTCACCGGCGTCGCCTTCGACGCGCACCGCCACGTTCATGAGAATGTCGCGATAGCCGTTGAAGCACGGCGGGTTGAACCGGTTCTTGGTCCGCACGATGTCGACGCGCGGGTCTTTGTCGAGCGCTTCGTAGAGCCGCACGATCTCCTCCTCGGTCGCGCACATGACCGAGCCGCGCACGAGGTCGAAGAGCCACGACGTCGCCGGCGCCGTATTCTTCGCGTACTCGTTGCGCGCCTTGGCCGCGGCGCGCGCGCGCCCCTTGAGCGGCGCGAGGTTCAGGACCGCGCCGTCCGGGCACGCCGCGGTCATGACCTCGGTGTACTTGAGTAACGCCTTCTCCGCGACCGCGTATAGCTCTTCGAGCGTCTTCGCGGGCGCGCCGTGCAGCGCGCACTGGCGCCGGTCGTCGCCGAGGCCTTTGCCCCGCCACGCGATTTCGCAGACCGCGCCCGTGAAGTGCTCGTCGTAGACGGCCTCGATCTGGTTGCGGGCGATCTTGAACTGCCTCAGGTTCTTGAACAGCATAGGCCTTTGGTTGAGGAGGCCGTGCGCCTCGGCGTAGGCCTGGACCTTTGGCCACGCGACGACGTCGTCCTCCTTGGCCGCGGCGAAGGCCTGCTGGGCCTCTTCGCCGTAGAGCACGCCGATCTCGTTCTTGATGTCGACCTCCGCCAGGGGCTGCTGCGCCGTGCTCACGGCGCCCATTGTGGGCAGAATCTGTGAGCCGTTTCGAGGGCTCCCATTGTTCGAGGTCCGAGTTGAGGTTGAAGCCTAAATTGAAGCGGTGTTTAACATGTCCGGGTTCTAGAGATGAGGTAAACAAGCGGAGGCGAACCAAAAAAAAACACAGTCCATTTCTTCTTTAGCACAGGGCGCAGGCTTGTCCTACGCGTTGGTGACGTCGGCCATGGGCGTGGCGCCGTCGGGCACGCGCCACGTCGTCCCGTACTTCGTCAGCGCGAGCTTGAACGCCTCCGCGACGTAGCGCGGCCGCGGGTCCTCGGCGCCGACGCGCGCGAAGCCGCCGTCGGCGTCGAGGACGTCGAGGAACTTGACGCGCGCGACGGCGTGGAAGCAGAGGTGCTCCGGGCCCTTGCGCTTCTTGTCCGGGAGCGGCTCGCCGACGGCCTCGACGACGCAGCGGTTCGGCGCGGCGTCGACCGTCGACGCCTTGTCCCAGGCGACGTGGATGACCTGGCCCGCGGTCGGGAAGCGGGGCCCGTCGGGCGCCGCCGTCGGCGTCGACGCGGCCTCGGACGGCGCGGCCGACGCGGCCTCGGACGGCGCGGCCGACGCGACGGAGTCGCCGCCGGGCGTCGCGTCGGCCGCGGCCGCGGGCGGCCGCTTCTTCTTCGCCTTCGCCTCCGACGGCTCGCCCGCGTCGTCCTGCTTCTTCTTCTTCTTCTTCTTCTTTGTCGTCGGCGCGCCGCCGTCGCCGCCGTCGCAGACGTCGCCCTCGGCCGCGGCGGCCTCGGCGAGCGCGCGCGCGCTCTCGAGGTCCTCGGCCTTCTGCTTGGCCTCGAGCTCCTCGATCTCCTTCTGGCGCGCCGTGTCCTGCTGGATCAAGTCCCAGTCCTGGTACATGCCCATGACGAAGGACACCTGGGGCTGGCCCCGGAGCGCGCGCCGCAGCACCTCGTCCTGCACCGTCGAGAGGTCCGCGTGGTGCGACCAGTTGTTGAGGTCCTCCTCCTTGGGCAGCGGGTAGAGCTGGCGCTTGAAGCCGTCGCCGTCCTCCGCCGGCGCGTCGCAGGGCGCGCAGACGACCGCGTCGGCGGCCGCGGCGGTCTCGTCCGCGGCGGCGTTCGCCGCGTAGAGCTGGGGCACGAGGCCCGGCCAGCCGTCCTCGACCTGGCGCACCATGAGCGCCGCGGCGGTCAGCGTCGCGTGGCCCGCGTCGAAGAGCTTGCGGCAGCAGCGCTCGACGAGGCGCAGGTCTTTCAGGACCTGCTGGATCGTGCCGTAGCCGCGCGCGGCGAGCTTCGCTTTCACGGAGCCGAGGTCCATGTGGGGCTTGGCGTCGTTCCAGCGCTTCCGCTCGACGGCGCCGTGGAGCGACGCCTCGTCGGCGGAGACGGCGACGGGCGCCGCGAGCCGCGCGCGCGCGTCCGCGCGGCCGTCGCCCGCGAGCACCGCGTTCTCGAGGAACGCGAGGCACGCGTCGGCGGCGCCGTCGCTCAGCGCGTTCTTGCCGCCGGCCTTGGACGTGTCCTTGCGCGCCGCGGCCCGCCCCTTGCAGGCCTTGCACTGGAGCTCGTCGTGCAAATCCGACGCCGTCTTCGGCCGGAACAGGAAGAGCTTCTTCAGGTCGTCCGTGGCGAAGTGGTTCACCTGGGCCTTGTCCTCGATGACGTTCTGGAGCCCCTCCTTGGAGAGCTGGCGCTGGAGCATGCGCTCCTCGAGCGTGCCCGTGGACACGAAGCGGTACGTGTAGCACTGGTACTTTTGGCCGTCGCGCCAGCACCGCGCGGCCGCCTGCTTGTCCGTCGCCGGGTTCCAGTCGAGGTCGAACATGACCAGACGCGACCCGCCGATCAGGTTCAGGCCGCAGCCGCCGGCCTTGGACGACAGCAGGAACGCGAAGTAGCCCGAGCCGGGATCGTTGAAGTCGTCGTTGAACTGCTTCCGCTTCTTCGTCGACGTGTTGCCGCCGAGCTTGCAGGAGTGCCAGCCCTCCTGGGTGCACATGGCCTCGATGAGGTCCAGCGTCGTCATGAAGACGGAGACGACGACGATGCGCTCCTTGCCGCGCTTGTGCAGCTCCGCCATGAGCCGGTGGAGCACGAGCATCTTGCCGCTGAGCCCCGCGTCGACGGACCGCGAGAAGCAACTCAGCACGCGGCCGCCGCGGCCCCGCGGCATGTGGTCGTCCTCGGGCATGAGCGACCGCAGCTCCGCGGCCTCGCGCGCGTTCGCGGCCGAGCCGCCCTCGGGCTGCGCGACCAGGGCCGGGTGGTTGCAGATCTTCTGGAGGCGCTGGATGTAGCCGAGCGTGTCCTTGACGTGGCCCTCGACGGCGGCCTGCTCGTCGCGCTTCCGGATGACGTGGCGGTACATCTTCTCCTGCGTCGGCGTGAGCCGGCAGCAGACGACCTGCGTGAGCTTCGGCGGCAGGTGCTGCGCGTTGAGGCGGTTCATGCGGCGGATGATGAACATGTCGCTCAAAGCGCTCAGCTGGCGCTGGCGGTCCTGGCCCTTGCGCTTCGCCGCGTCGGACGCGTCGGGCTCGCGGCCCCGGAGGATCGGGCCCTCGTAGTGCTTCGTGAACTCCTCCTTCGTGCCGAAGATGCCCGGGTTCGTGAAGTTGGCCATGGAGAAGAACTCGACCAAATCGTTCTGCATGGGCGTGCCGCTCAGCAGCACGCGGCGCCGGCACGCGAGCGACGCGAGCGCCTGCGACGTCTGCGCGTCCTGGTTCTTGAGCCGGTGCGCCTCGTCGCAGATGATCAAATCCGCGGAGTCCTTCTTGCGCGCGAAGCGCTCGACCTGCATGCGGAAGGTCTCGTAGGACACGACGAGCACGTCGTAGTAGTTCGCGGGCGACAGGAACTGGTCGATCATGCCCTCGACGGTCTTCCGCGTCGTGTCCGCGAGCGCCATGCACTCGATGCGCTCGGCCTTGGTCTTCGCGCGGCAGTTGACCCACTTCTCGAACTCGTCCTGCCAGTTCTTGACGAGCGAGCAGGGGCAGACGACGATGACGCGCTTCGCGATGCGCTTGCCGTCGCGGCCGAGCGACTTGAGGAGCGTGTAGAGCAGCGTGATCGACTGGAGCGTCTTGCCGAGGCCCATGTCGTCGGCGAGGATCGCGCCCTCGCCGCCGTAGTCCTTCATGCCGTAGACGCACTCGAAGACGAACTGCACGCCCTCGCGCTGGTGCGGCCGGAGCCACTGGCAGAGGATCGGCGGCACCTCGATGACCTCGGCGCCGGCCTCGACCTCGTCGTCCGTCGGCTCGTAGAGCACGAGGGGCTCGTGCTCGCGGTAGGCCTAGGTGACGATTGTTTGCCAGTCGGAAACTCTCAAACAGGGCAGCAAAAGAGAGCGAAATTCCCAACTTCAAAGGCTCATATCTCGGCCATGAAGGGAGTGATATTCCCAACTTCAAAGGCTCCGATCTCGGCCATGTTCCACTCGTTTCGGCTGATTTTTGGACGAGCGATCATCTCTCGGAACGGTCTCGAAGCGTGGATGCTTTTTCCGGAACGCGCGCGCGCGGAACACTCACGTTGTAGCGACGTTGAATCACCCTTGTGCTGCCCAGCTCTCAAAGGGGACGCCGCGGCGCGCCGGCTCCTCCGCCTCCTCCTCCTCCTTCGCGGAGTCGTCCGTCGTGAACGAGAGGTCGAGCATGGGCGCGACGACCTGGCCCGCGGCGAAGTCGCGGCCGGAGAGGAACTTGGACTGGAGGCCCACGCCCTTGATGCGCTTGCGGCCCAAGGACTTTTGTTTGAGGAGCTCGTCCGCGCGCTTCGACCGCTTGCCGCCGATGCTCTTGAAGCCCTGGCGGACCGTCACGGCCGTCGTCGACAGGATGCCGGGCATGAAGGACCGGCGCACGACCTCGACGTCACCGCCGCGCTCCGCGTCCTCGTTGTCGCGCTTGAAGTTCTCGACCTCGGGCGCGCGCGCCGCGACGGCCAGGCCGCACGCGCCGAGCCGCTTCGTGGGCGGCGGCGACTTGCCGCGGCTCGGCGCCGACGGCGCCTTGAGCATTTGAAACTTCTTCATCGTGTGGGTCGCAACGCGGGAACTATCGAGGGAGTTGTCAGGCCCTCGGCGGCGAGCTTGCGGGGCGCGTCGTTCGCGAGGCGCAGCAGTTTGCGTAGAAGAGTGATGTTGCGGCGCGCGCGTCGATGAAGTGGGTGACGTCGAGGGCGTGCGGCGACAGCGCGCAGGGCGTAAGGTTGTCGACCAGGAACGATCTGCTGAGCAGCACCGAGACAGCAACATCGACGTCGCGCGATGGACCCGGCGCTCGGCGCGCGCACACCCGCGGCGAGAAGTGCGCGCTCGCACCCTCGATGGGCTCGATGGGCGTGTCGGAGGCCTCCGAGGTCGAGTCCTTTGACTCCGACTCCGACGCTGCGTCGGTGAGCGCCGAGGTGCCCGCGTGCGCGTCTGCCGTGGAGCGTTCGGCGCCCGGCGCGACGACGTCGGCGAGCGCCGGACAGCGGCCCGGCGCCGCCGCGACGAGCGACGAGACCGTCGCGGGCCACGGCAAGCAGCAGTCCTCGCGATTCTACGGAATCTATTGGGAAAAGGGTCGATGGCGGGTGACATATTTCGACGAGCACGGCAAAAGCAGATATATCGGGGTCTTCCTTGACGAGGAAGTGGCGGCGCGGGCCTACAACGCCAAGATCGCCGAGCTCCGGCTGGGCCATTGCCGCGCGACGAACGCCGAGGTCGACGGCGTCCTGCAGCCGAAGCCGCAGACGTCGTCGCAATACCGCGGCGTCTACTGGGACAAGACCAAGGGCCTTTGGAAGGTCCAACTAACAGAAAGCGAGGTGGGCTTGAAGGGTCATACCCTCGGCTGCTACGACGAAGAAATCTCGGCGGCGAAAGCCTACGACCGCTTCCTTCGCGAGGCCATGCCGTCGTCGTTCGCCGCCAAGGCGAACTTTCCGGGTATCGACCCGCCGAGCGAGGCGGTCATCCGCGATTACGACGCCATGTCTGCGCCGGCTAAGGTCGCCAAAGCCATGCGCGTCGTCGCGTCCCTGCGGGACTCGGCGAAGCGCGTCCGAGAGTCGAACCGACGCTCGCGGACTTCGAAAAAGCAGCGCGTCTCCAAAGGCGCCGCCGGCGCCGCGCCCGCCGGCGCCGCGCCCGCCGCGCCGCCGCGGCGGCCCTCGGGCCGGTCGCGCAAGCAGATCTCCTACGCCGAGGGCGACGACGACGACGACGCGTCCGACGCGTCCGCCGACGACGGCTCCAACGACGTCTCCAAAGACGCCGCCGGCTCCGCGCCCGCCGGCGCCGCGCCCGCCGGCGCCGCGCCCGCCGGCGCCGCCGACGGCGCCGAAGTCAACGACTTCCACTGCGGCGCGTGCGCCCTCCGGGACACGCCGCTCATGATCCAGTGCGAGGCCTGCGACAGCTGGTTCCACTTCGGTTGCGTGGACCTCACCTCCGAGACGGTCCCAGACGGTGCCTTTTTCTGCGGCCGCTGCGCCGCCGCGCGCGCCGAGGAGGCCTCGGCCTCCGCCGCGCTCGTCGCGCTCGCCGTCCCGACGCTGGACGCGCCGGCCGCGCCTCACGTGCTGGACGCGGACCATCGGCTCGTCGCCAAGCTCGGCGGCTTTTTTAGCAACGCCGCGAGCGCCCCCGTCGAGAAGCGAAAACGTGACGACGCTCTGCGAGGCCTGAAAAAGGTCCCCGACCTGCACCGCGACCTCACGCTGGTGCTCACGAGCCAGAACCAGCACTACCGGTCCCTCCGGGTCTGCTTCCAGTCGTCCGTCGTCGACGTCGTCTTCCGCCTGCTGGCCTTTACGCTGACCGACGAGTTCTTCGAGGAGGACAACAAAGTCGCGTGCGCGATGGCGTGGCTCGCGGAACTCGTCGAGACGGTCCACGACCCGAAGACGAGGCGGTTCCTCACGGCCAAAAGAGACATCATCTGCCGCATCGTCGGACGCCTCGGAAACCGGCTTCTCGACTGCGGCTTCACGGTCCAGGAGGCCCGGCGCGAGGTGGTTGCCACCAATCGGTCTCGGTCGCACGCGGAGATGAAGGCCATGGTTTTCGGGCTCTTCTTCTTCTGCGTCCGTTACTATCACGAGCCGGACCGACCGTTCGAGATGATCATGCTCATTAGCCGAGTTCCGTGCTCGCACGCCTGCGCGGCCGGCGACGCGCGGGGCTGCGATCGCTTCCTCAAGGCGATTCGCGCGACTCCCCTCAAAATCGCGGCCTCCCAGGCGCCGCGCAGCGTGCGCCCCGCGGGCGTGTGGCCCGGCGGCTCCTTCGACGGCGTTTTCGCGTGGATCAGTAAACTCCGCGCTTGATTCGCCTTCCGAGTCGGCCATGGCGAGCGGTCGCCGCGCGCGCGCGGGCGCTAGGCGATTTAGAAGCACGATGTCACGACCGTCGCGCGCTGGTCGGGGCACGCGCCGGGGAACGCGAAATAGATGGCGAGGATGGCGTCGTCCCAGACAGTGGTGTTGGGGAGCGCGTGGAAGAGGCCGTTGCACCCCATCATGGGGCCTTCGTCCGGAGGGATGCCGTGGCAGCACTTGCGGCTCACCATGATGTCCACGCGGGACAGCGGGTTCTCGATCTTGTCCAGGACCCACGCCTTGATCTCCGCATGCCAGGTTCTTTGCGAAGTCAGCAGCGCGCGGGGAAGGCGCGCGAGGCCAGCGACCAGATGGTACGCGCCGTCGAAGTGAGACTCGATGGTCTCAATCGCTCGCTCGTGGTACACGTTGGTGAAGAGTTTCTTGAACTTGCGCTCGACGTCGGCGCGGGAGCACGGCTTTCCGGCGAATAAGATGGCCGCGTCGAAGATTACATGGCAGACTTCGTGCATCCAGTCTCCCTACGCGTACGCGTCCACGGGTTAAATCCACACGGGGAGAAAGAGCGGCGGGCGCACCTCTTCTGAGTCCGCGTAGATGCCCGACGACGTCACGGCGATCGTCACTTTCTGCTCCTCCAAGTCCGCGCTCCCCGCGCCCGCGGCGCGGCATCGCGCGGCCGCTGCCGCTTTATATTCCTTGACCGATTTCTGTTGTCGCCATATCTCGAGCAACAGTTTTGCGTACTTCCCCGTCGGCGCGGACCCCCCCGCGAGGTCGGCAAACCCCCCAGGTTGTTTGAGTCGGTCTTCGATTGCAGCTTTGGTATGATTGTATATATAGCGCAGGAAGTTATCGTCGTCGTGCGGCCCGAGAAGGTCTGTGCCGTCGTTGGCCGGATTCAACGCGACTCCAGCGAGCGAAACGAGGGTGCCGAGGCGCAACGAGTCTGGCATTTGGTCGCGAGGCGGCACAGCTCGAGCGGTCGCCGATTGCCTCTCTCAAAGGCTAACTCGGCGACCCGTCCGGGGAGTTGTCCGGGGCTCGTCCTAGTCGGCGACTCCTGCGCCGTCCGCGAAGCACGCCGGACGTATAGGCCGTCCGTGGAAGTCGCCCGACGTGCGTGGGCCACGCGCGCGGCGGAGCCTTGCTGCAACCGGCGACGTCGAGACCGTCGTCGACGAGTCCATCGACGAGTCTGGTCGGCCCAGTCGGATCCACGCGCGCCTGGGCGATCCTCTCCGAGCTCTTGCCCGCTGCCGCTCATCCACAACGCACGCCCAGCGGCCGCGTCATCGACGACCACCGTGACGTCGGCGATGCTTGGTGCTTGCCGTCGCGATCTTTGAAGAATCTCGATTCTGATTCTTTGGCAGCGCATTCTAGTGGACAGCCGTCGTTTGCATCGCGCATCGCAGCGTCTGCGCACTGGACACCGCCGCTTGCAGCGGGATCCTTCCTCAAGTCGACCCCGAAGACGCTCAAGCGGGGCAGCCTCGCGACTTCAGCTCGAGAGTGGTTCTGAGAGAAGCCGCGCAGCGGGGCAGCCTCTCACCGCCACCCACCACCCAGCCCCCCACAACGCAGGCACCGAAGATGATCCGCAAGCTCCTCTGCCTCTCCCTGCTCCTCGGCGCGTCGGCCCTGGCCACGCCGAAGCGCGCCGCGACGCCGCGGCTCCGCGCGGCCGTCGAGGTCCGCGGCGGCGCGCTCATCCCCAAGGAGGGCTTCGTCAAGGCCTGCGCGTGGGTCTACGGCATCTACGGGATCCAGTTCACGCCAGCGTCGAGCGACAGGAGTGTTTTTTTGCGTGAATTTCGCCTGAAGATGTGAAGACATCCGACCCGTCGCACTTGGTAGGTTCACGCTGATGACGAAGAAGTTCATCGAGGACCACTTCCAAGGGCCCGCGGACCCGCTCGCGATCTTCATGGCGCGCGGCGCGGGCGTCTCGATCATGTGGATGGCCTGGTCCCTCACGAAGCTGCCGCTGGAGACGGTCTTCCTGCGCGACGCCGCGTCCCGCGCGATTCCGCGCGTCACGCGCGACGCGTCGCAGGCCCCTCGTCGTCTACAACGTGCTCACCGGCCTCGTCTACCCCTGGAACGCCGCGTACATCTCCAAGCTCCCCGTCAAGTACCCGATGCACTACGTGCCGGAGGCCCTGATGGCCGGCTTCTCCGTCGCCGGCATCCTCGCCGCCATGTAGGTCGACGCCCGAACTTGAACTTAAGACCCCGCGGGCATGCGCTTCAGCACGAAGAGGCCGCCGCGCGAGCCCCGCGAGAGCCGGAGGTCGCCGTCGACGTACGTCGTCACGATCTCGCCCCGGGGCCGCGGCAGCGGGAGCGTGACGACGTCGTTGACGTCGAAGCCCTCGAAGGTGATGGCCAGCCGGTCCGCGTCGTCCGTCGCCTCCGCGGAGCCGAAGACGCGGAGCTTGAGGGTCTGGCCGAGCGCCGTGATGCGCACGCGATTGTCGACGACGCGCGCGGTCACGTCGACGACCTGCTCGTTCGCGACCTTGAGCGGGCCGTCGCGGTCGCGCGAGTCGCCGCCGGCGAGGAAGGGCGCGACCTTGAAGAGCAGGCCGTAGATGCGGTTCGAGATCTCCTGCGGCAGGTCGCTCAGCAGCGCGGAGCCGGGCCGGGGCGACGCCGTCTGCGTCGAGTAGACCAAGGCCCAGCGGCCGCTCACGTCGCCCGTGCGCACGTCCGCCTCCTCGACGCGCGCGGCTCGCCGCAGGATCTCCGCCTCGCCGGCGCGCCTGCCGATGGAGGTCAGCAGGTCCTGCTTCAGCGCGTCGACCACGGCGGTCGCGGCGGCGCGCCGCGGCGGCGCGCGGAGCGGGTGGCCGCCGCGCGGGCCGACGAAGGCGGTCGTGCCGCACGCCAAGCACAGCGCGGCGACCATGGCGCGCGCGCGGTTGAGAGTGCTCATACCGCAGCGTCGCCGGTGAATCATGGCGCGCGGGCGCGCGCCGGCAGAGGGAGAGCGCATGCCTCCACAGTCAATTGCCATGGCGCCACAGTGATCTCACAGTGAGCTATGATGTTGACCAAGTTATTGAAGGGGAATGCGCCATGTTGAATCGATGGTGAATCATATATTAGAGTTTCATGCATAGATTAGAGTTGCTCTCAGCGCCGAGCGCCTCGACCTTTGGGCAGCCGTCCTGACCTGGGCAGCCGTCCTGAGAGAGAAGAGGCGGACCCGTCATGTCGGCGCCCCTGGCCGCGTCCGGCTCGGAGCCGGACCTCGGCGCCGTGTCGACGAAGACCGTGGACGCCGAGGGCAACGCGACGGTCGTGACCGTCGCGTCGGGCAGCGTCGCGTCGGCCCCGGCGCCCGTGCCCGAGCCGGAGCCCCTGCCGGCGAACATGAAGGCGCAGCTCGACAAGGCGAGGAAGGCCGAGGAGAAGTACGAGAAGTCGCCCTGGAGCACGAACAAGCTCAGCGAGGCGCTCAAGTGCTACGAGACCGTCCTGGAGTTCTACGACGCGACGCCCGCGTGGGCGGACCACCTCGACGTCGCTAAACTGCTCGTGGCCATGGGCGACTGCAGTCGAAAGAAGAACGCGCAGGGCGTGGAGAAGGCGCTGGCCATGTACGAGCGCGGCTACGCGATCCTCGAGAAGCGCCTCGGGCCCGAGTCCATCGAGCTCGTGGAGCCCATGGAGAAGATGGCCGGCGTGCTCGTCAAGGCCTTCTCCGGCGAGTTCGCGAACGCGGAGAAGCTGCTGCGGCGCTGCGTGCAGCTCATCGAGCAGCACCGCGGGCCCGACGACGCGTCCATGGCGGCGGCCTGCGTCGACCTCGGCGCCGTGCTGCGGAAGATCGGCTCGTGCGACGAGGCCGTGGCCGTCGAGGAGCGCGCGGTCGCCGTCCTCCTGAAGACGGCGCCGGACAAGCCCGACGCGGGCGTGCTCCAGGGCGCCGTCGCGCTGGCCGTCTGGAAGCTCGGCGACCTGCCCAAGGCGACGACGACGATGGAGGCGGCCTGCGCAGAGCTCGCCAAGTTCCCCGACATGTCCGAGAAGCCGCCGACGAACCACTACATCGTCATGCTCCAGAAGATGAAGGCCGGCGAGGACCGGCCCATCACGCCCGAGTAGGCGCCAAAGGGGGGGGTTCTCACGTGTTTCTATGAGTGGACCTCGGCGGCGCAGCCGGCCGCGTGCTGGTGGCCGCGCGTGCCGTCGAGCGCGCCGCACATGCCGTCGACGCAGCCGTAGCCCGGCGAGTTGCAGGGCAGCCCCCAGAGGCACATCTCCGGGACCCGCGCCGCGCCGAGGAATTCGGCGCGCGAGTCCGGCGAGTGTC